GAATAGCTTAAGCCTAAGAGTTTGAGGTTGCTGTGAATTGTGACACCACAGGCACTCTACTGAGGGTGACATAGTGAGACTCTTGTCTCAAAAAAAACAACCTTAAACAGTAAAGCTTTCAGAAGCATTCAAGAATAAGGAAGCAATCCCACCTCTTTCAAAGTAGGCGAATGTTCATTTCCTCATAGCTACCTTCTTCTCTTCTGTAAGGATAGTACACAAATTGTACATGAATGGAATCAGCCTGTTCTGTCTGAGGCCACGTTCAACATCAAAGAGGTCCACACTGATCTTTTGGATGTACAAAGACGTAAAGGTGGTTTGATGTCAATATGAAAGAATTAGGCCCAGAGTGCCAGGTGCCTTAAAGACTCCTTTAAAGCCAGCTTTATCCAGCCTCGTGCTTTTTGGTCCTGAAGAGACAATGGAAATGTTTGAAGCAAACCGTAAATAACTAGGACTCTTGGTCTTGTTCCTAACTGTAGCTCCCTAAGGGTGGAAATGGCCTTGTCCACAGCCAGCTTGAAGCAGAGCTGTTTTGCCTCCCAGGTCCACTCCCGTTCCAGAGCTAAGCAAATCAGAAGCATGCGCTAAATTAACATCATTGGAGAATGAAAGCCTAATTGACTAAAAGGCTCCATAGGAGGGGGCCAGGGCTTCACCTAAGCAGATAAAAATGTTTTTCTGTGTCTGTAGTGCGTATTAGCTGGTGTTTACATGCACAGAGAAAATGTAAATTGGTGCATCAGTATGTCAGAAAAGCAAGTTCAAAATGCTCACCTAGGGGTCTCTAAGAGAGGTCTGAGCTGGATTTAGCAGGGGCTTCGAGTGTAGACTGGCCAGCGCTGCTCCCAAGGTCATCTCTGCAACCAGGCCACACTGTGCCAGACCCTGCACGTAGTTTACAGAAAAGTAGCTGCCACCAATGTGTGTGCAGAGGGAGGAGGGAAGCCTAGATTTATAAAGAAAAGACAAAAGCCATTTTATTACCATTTTTACTTTAAAAAAAAAAGTCCCTGCCAATGCCCAGGTAATTGCTTTGAATGAATTCACAAACTCGTTTGGTCTGATCTAAGAGTAATTTGAAATGCTGCATCCTTTTCATGGAGATCATTGGCCTCTTCTGAAGGAGAATGGGATGCCTCACCCTGACCTGGGCAGGAAGACCGACTCCCACTGATCTGCCTTTCGTAATAACTGTTCCCACAGACTCACATGACATTATTGATGCAGAGGTGACCTGCAAGGCGGCCCAGATGGAAGTGTCCATATCTAAGTGCAAACTCTTCCAGCTCGGCTTTGAGAGGGAGGGCGTGCGGATCAACGACAGACAGTGCACAGGCATCGAGGGGGAAGACTTCATCTCCTTTCAGATCAACAACACCAAAGGGAATTGTGGAAACATCGTGCAGGTGAGAAAACGGGGGGCGGGCCAGGGCACCTGGCAGAGGCAGTGGCAGCCCCTAGTGTCTGCACATGCATGATCTGTAAAGCCAACTTCACAGTGAGCTACTTAAAAATACGCTCCTCGGAGAGCCACAGAAGGCCGGTGCAATGTGAAGGATAGTGAGGGCAGCAGTGGTTGGTTGAAAGGAAAGAGCACAGTCCGTGATGTATTTTCTTTTCTTGGTTTGTGATGCCTGCCGGTCCTTTGTCCTGCATGCCGACAGAATCCTTACCTGCCTTTTGTTTCTGTTGTAAGTACAGCTGGGCTCAGCTATCTTGCAGGAGGAGGGAGTCCCAAACGTCCTTTGGCTGCAGTTGCACAGTAAGGTCTCTACTCTGGATGTCAGATTATGCAGTGTATAGATTAGCAAAGCGTCTTGCTGCTCTCCGTTTTCCTTCCTGCTGGGTGTCTTTTATTCCTAGCTGTATTATGTACATGTACATGTACAATTTGATTAGCAGGTGAAAGGAGTAAGGAGGTGAACCTTAACGCTTCCTTATTTTGGTCTTTGTAGGCACGTCTGGTGAAAGATTTGGTAGAGGACAGATTTCAAACTGAGCGTTGAAAAAGAAATTTAATGTTACGGCAATACGTGACGCTCTTCCTAGCTTGGGTTCCCAGGGATAACTGTGGGCTGGGTTTAGTTAGAATTCAGTGGTAGGTGAAATCACCTCTGGGCATTCAAGGTTATCAGCCTGCAGGGTGCTCTGGACTTTGCTGCTTCTCCCCACACCCCGGGGTAAATGCTGAGGCTAGCATCATGCTGATGTATGCCGGCCTCTGTGGTATGTGTGGAATGAAGCCATATCTCCACTTGCAGGGGCATGCATTTGAAATGCAAGCCACATACCTTCCCTCGATTTAATGATTTCTGGCCTCCCCTTCCTCTGCAGTCCAACGGCACTCACATCATGTACAAAAACACAATCTGGATCGAAAGTGCCAACAACACCGGCAACATCATCACCAGGGACCGCACGATCAATGTGGAGTTCTCATGTGCTTACGAGCTGGATATCAAGATCTCCTTGGATTCTGTTGTGAAGCCCATGCTAAGGTAAAGGCTCCCACGGGCTGTGCGCGTTGCTTTTTCTTTCTCTTGACTGAGGTAGCACAATCAGAATTGCTAGCGTTTATCGTGGATGCTTTAGGGGAAAAAACATAATTCACATTTCTTGAACCTAAACGCTTTCGACCAGCATTGTTGAATAGAACTTGCTATAATCATAGAAATGATACATTCGTACCATCCGATATAGTAGCTCCTTGGCCACTGAGCACTTGAAATGTGCTTTTCATTACTTAATAAGTTTTATTTCCCCGTGCAGCTAGCAGGTACTATATCGGATAGAACAGCCTTAGACTTTACCGCGATATGCTCTGTATTTCCTCTGCGTTTCAGCTTCAAAAATGGTAGGTCGTTGAATAAGGACAGTTGTTTTGAGTTCCCTGCCTCATAACTGTTTCCCTTTTAAGTGTCATTAACCTGACAGTTCCAACCCAAGAAGGCAGCTTCACCACCAAGATGGCACTCTACAAAAATGCCTCCTACAAACATCCTTACCGCCAGGGGGAAGTCGTGTTGACGACTCGAGATGTGCTATACGTAGGGGTCTTTGTGGTTGGAGCTGACTCCACACATTTGATCTTAACGCTCAACAAATGCTATGCCACCCCCTCCCGCGACAGCAATGATAAGCTCCGTTACTTCATCATTGAAGAAGGGTGAGTAGCCTCTTCATAGAAACCAGTCTTAGAACTGTTACTGTGATATTGTCTACATCATTTTTTAGGGGAACCAATAATTGTCTGGCTACCTACAAGGCCAGCATTTTACATCTATTAATACATCTAATGCTTCTAATAATCTATGATGTAAACAAGATCAAATAACTTGCTTAAAGTCACACAGCAATTTAGTAGGAGATTCCCCAAGTTCTTGTGGCATTAACTGTGTGATGTTTTAGTCTTTTTTTTTAAATTTCTTATAGCATAACTGTGTCCATTAATGCAATCGTGGTGTACAGTGTGCTGTTTTCATATACATTTTGAAATACTCTCATCAAACTGGTTAACATAACCTTCATGTCATTTTCTTCGTTATTGAGTTAGAATGTTCATACTCTGCTTTTGGAAAGATTCACTTGTACCCTTGTAAGATAAACCATAGAAGTGACCCCACCAATCACCCTCCTTCCCCCCATCCACTCCCCTCACCTCCTCCTCCCACCCCCTTCCCATATTCTAAGGCTATAATTAAGTTATGACATTCTTATAAAAGCTATGAATTAGTTTCAAAGTAGGGATGTGTACATTGGATACTTTTTCTTCCATTCTTGAGATACTTTGCTAAGAAGAACATTTTCCAATTCCATCCGTATAAACATGAAGGAGGTAAAGTCTCCATCCTTCTTTAGGGCTGCATAGTATTCCATGGTGTACATGTACCACAATTTATTGATCCATTCGTGGGTCGATGGGCACTTGGGCTTCTTCCATGATGTAGCAATTATGAATTGGGCTGCAGTAAACATTCTGATGCAAATATCTTTGTTGTAATTCGATTTTTGGTCTTCTGGATATATACCTAATAAAGGAATTGCAGGATCAAATGGCAGGTCTAGTTTTAGTTCTCTCAGTGTTCTCTAGATGTCTTTCCAAAAGGAAGTGATGTTTTAGTCTTAATGTGATCGAGAAGGGATTCTGTCCTGCCTCCTCTGAACTATTTGAGGACAAGGTAAATTCTGCAAATGGATGTATATAATGACTAAAGGTTAGCAAAAAGGATATTTACCAAAACAAAAAAGAAATTCATAGCCTATAAACTCTGTAAGTTTCTTTTTACTCAGCACTGTGTGCCCATTCTCTAGTATATTTCCTCAAACATAGTGGTTACATGACATGATCTATTAAAATGAACCAGAATAAATGACAACCGACCAACTGCTGTAAGAATAATTATCTTTACTTTTCAAAAAGCACTTAACTGGTTATGTCTGGCAGTTTACACGTATTATAATAGATTTTACAGTAATTCATTTTAACAGCTTTATTGCATACATAACTTACATAAAATAAAATTTACTTGCTTTAAGTGTAAAATTTAATGATTTTTAGTAAATTTGCAGAGTGCAAGCATCACTGTAACCTAATTGTACAGCATTCCCCTCACTCCAATACAATAATTTCTTTCCTTATTTGAATTTCTTTTTAGAAATATTTTATGGATGCATAATAATTGTACGTATTTATGGGGTACGTGTACTATTTTGATACATGCATAAAATCTGTAATCAAATCATGGTATTTACGATATCCATCACCCCAAGTGTTTACCATTTCACTGTGCTGGGGATATTTCAGATCTTCTCCTCCAGTGATTTTCAAATATACAGTAAGTTGTTGCTAACTGTAGTCACCCCACTGTGCTGTAGAACACTAGGATTTCATTCTTTCTAAGGAATTATCCACCTTAGCCAACCTCTCTTTCTTCTCCCCAGCCTCTGGTGACCATCAT